CTGCACAGCTGAGGCCGAGAGGATCTAAATGCCTGTTTATGGCACGAGTTCAATCTGCAGCCCAGGTTTAATACTGCAGGCAGGCAGTATTGGAAGGCCGGTTTATTGAGCGGGAGCAGTGTTGTCAGAAAGGTCAGCTCAGAGGGAAGCGGAGACGTGTGCACAGAAATAGACGTCAGTGGACAAGGCCAGATCGATGCCCGACACTGATGGAGATGTGCAGGGATGTGAGGCCGGTGGGGATGTTCGCACAGAAACACCAGCAGCAGGAAGAGGGAGTGGGAAGAAAACGAAAGCCCTACCTTTTTCTTCTTGGGCTGCTTCCCCATCTTTCTCGGATCCCAGGTCCTGAGCTGTCTGGTCTGATGAGAGGTCGCCTCCCTCTTTTACAGGCGCATCTAAATTAAGCAGCAGATCCAGTTCTTCTTCCAAATGGTCCACTGCCGACAGCAGCAGGTTAGCAGGGTTCTGCGGACCCTGGAAAGGGCCGGGTCCTGGGCGACCTTTACCCGGGTAGGTGGGACAGCCAGCAGCGGCGGATTTCAGCTCAGAGAGGGACCCCTTTCCTCCAGGCCCCAAGGGCCCCTTTAACTGCTTCCCTAGTCCCTTGCCATCATCATTTCTCTTTGGTTTCACCTGAGGAAGCTCTAAAGGCAGGGCGGTCTGAAAGAGAAGCACAGTTGAGTTAAAAACAAGAGTCCTACCATACTTGCTCAAGCAAAAACGAAAGCTAAGGAAGCCATCAGACTGGGTGGACTGGGAAACTCAGCTCAGACAGGAAGTTCACAAAGTGTCTCCATCCGGGCGGTAAATGTGGGAGACCTCACGGAAACACAACAGGGAGGCTGCGCCTCCCACTGAGCCCTCCTCAGCTATGTGCTAACCAGCTCAGAGCTGACATCAAGAGGGCTGGGTGTTCCTGTCTCCAACCGGAGAACAGACGGCCCCATGAGGCTACGTGAGCGTGTACCTAAGCCTGCAATGAGCCAGACAGCTGTAGAGGCACCAAGAAGTTATTAGCACCTCAGATCTGTTCACTGGACTAAAATGCAGGAATAGCAAGGTGAAGGGACAAATTCACCCAGGAGAAAAGAGAACGGCTGTCACTAACATTAGTTGAGGAAAAACTGCCAGACCCGAAAGAAAACATTCTATTCGATGACGTGTAAAAAGTCCAAAAACAGGCAGCGCCCATCTCTAGTACGAGGGGTCAGGACAGTGGTTTCGGGGAGGCGGTGCCTCGGCGGAGTGGGGGGGGGGGTCCCGGGTGTTGGCAGCACTCTGATCCTGGATCTTGGTGCTGATTCCATGGTTATAAAGACTCATGTGTGTGCTCTTCCGCATGTTATAATTTAGTAAAGTTACACTCCCCAGGTGACTGACGTAGAGGAAGGCCGAGAACCACGGTTCTGGGGCAGACCTGGGGTGACTAGCCTGGCATCAGCATGGACGGGGCCAGGAGGAGGTTCAGCCGCTGTTGGAGGCATCTCCCCCTCACTTGTACATTTAAGCATCCCGAGCAGATCCAGTTTGCTAGTGACTCCTAAAGACTTTCAGGACAGTATGACTTTACACACAAACTTAAATACTCGTCCAGCATTCTCAGTGAGCGGGCAGGGCAAAGCTGGGATGCAGTTCCCTGTTCTAATCCTGGAATCATTAATTCAGTTGGTCTGGATTCATTGTCTGGTATTTTTTGTTAACTCCCCTAGTGATTCTAAGGTGCAAAAACAGTTGAGACTAACTGCTCCACATCACTGGGGGTGGAGGTGGGGGGAGGTTTAAAACTATTTAACCAGGTTTTTAAAGTTACCGCAGTTGTTTTGTATCTTTCCTCTAAGGCCTGCCACTGCCGACATCCATCACTTTCAAAGGCTCACATTTCCCATTTCTCTCCTGAGTGCTGGGGCCCCCATCACCTCATCTCAGTGTTTCCCTGAAGTGTTCTCTTAACCATTGCTCACTGTGTGAGATCGAACCAGGCATGTCAGAACTTCGACCATCTCCGGACACTCAGAGGAGAAGTCAGACTTATCCAATCACAAAGACAGTCCCAAACACCCCCAAATATTCTTAAGCCCCAGGGTGATTTCCCATCAGAGGCAAATGACATCCTACTCCGCTCCACTCCTAAGTGTCCTCCAGCCCTGAATTCTATGTGCTGCCCTAAATTTGAAGACGAGTGCTTGCCATGGAAACAGCAATGGGGGGGGGGGGTAACTAATTCATGACTATGCTCAACTGGAGCATCACGTTCAGTAGCAGAACAAAATTGGTCATTTTAGTTGCTGGGATTCTATTTAAAATTAGTACTGCCCATAGTTTCACTTTTCCAAAAAATCCAATCAAGCCACAATTAAATTTCAAAGTTCCTTATGATATAGCCCTTGGGCCCCTCCCTCTTAGCTGTCTTACTGGTATCTCCCAAATGTATATTTTCAGCCCTTAATTCTCAACTATAAATGTCTATACCCAATTGACTGATACTTTCACTTTGCTGTCTCAAACACAAACCCGTAATGTCCAAACCTCACCCTGATACTAGCTACCACGGAGTCGCACAGGTTGGAAAACCTAGATGATGTCTTTGCAGCTCCCTCTCCATTTCCAGTATCTCACTAAGTCCTGTTAATTTTTAATTTTTGTTGTGCAGTGCCTCTTCATAAAGTCCAGTTCTCTGCCATCATTACTCTGGTCCAGGCTACGGTATTACTCACCTGGGCTGTGCAGTTGCGTCCGAATTTGCCTCCCCTCATCTACTCTTGCACGGACGTCCACGTGCCGAACTACCTATAAACACAGCCATCCGCATACAGCCCGCCCTGCGTTCTGCAGTCAGTGTTCTCTGCTACTGTCATCACTACTGGCAGTACAGCTGCTAATGCCGGTCTGATTGGGCCACTCTTCCTTAAATCCCAGCTCAGATGCTCTTCTACTTTGGATCTCAGCCTGTCTGTCCCTTCTTCAGGAAAGCCATTCGTAATCACGCCACAGTAGACTGGGTTCACTATTATACATTCTTACAGCCCACTGTACTCACCTTCACAGGACTTAGCACAACTTGATAATTTGATCAATACCCAACTTTCCCAATGGGTTATGCTGCGTGAGGGCAGGAACCACATCTGTCTGTCCACCCCTGTCACCTCAGGGCCCAGCACGGAGCCCGGCGCACAGAAAGGAAAAGCCGGGTCTGAGACACCCTGCAGGGGCACACCTTCCCCCCTTTCCTCCCCTGCTCTAGCCCACACCAGCTTCAAGATGCCGTCAGGGTCTTACCTGGACCAATTCAGCAGCAACGTTGAGTCGGAGGGAGAGAGGTAGCTCTTGAAGGGCTCGCACCAGTGACTCGCAGTCCACGTAGAATGCTGGATTCTATATTAAAAAAACAAAGACAGATTGATCAAGAAGATTACGTACGGTCTTTCAGGAATAAAAGCACACAAGGTGATAGGAAGTAACTGTAAATAAATCATCCATCACTTTTTAGCTGGGAGACATCAGCTCATAAATCACACATGCTATGGTTGCAATTTCTATCATCTCTGCATTAAAATAAACCCGACCAAAACCAGCCCCTGGAGCCATAGGCTGTCAGAGCAGCAGCAGGGTCATGATCGTCCCACATCAAGACTGCGTGGAACCCTGGAAACTACAGGTTTCTTGGAATTACTAGAAAATTCAAAGCATTTAGTGAACTCTCACTGGACGTTGTCTTACAAATTCAGATGGCGGACCTTCAGGAGCGCAGGGAGGAGCTGTCGGGGCGGTGGGATGGGCTGACCGGCACAGCCCAAGGAGCCCGTGGGGTACACTTCTCTCTTCCAACCAGCAAGCAGAGCGTGGGAACATACCCTCTGGCCGGCAGTGCTCTGCGTGAGGCCCACACTGTACGCTCCACGCTCCCTCTGACTCCCTTCCCATTCACAGAAGCAAAGTCCTGTCCAGCAATGACCTCCCAAACTGACTGTATTTGAGAAAACATTCCAGATTGTAACGTGACCCCTCACAGGGGCTTCTAGGTGCCCTGGCCACCCAAGAGAAGAAAAGACCTAAAAGGTGGTTACGATGACCTCACGTTAGAGGCAGACACCACCAACCACCCCGTCTAGGGACTGTCACGGGCCCAGGCAGAACCGTGTCTTACGTGACAATCACTGACTTCAAAGGAGAAGAAAATCCAGGGTCACCTCATCTCCATTCCACTGTAAAGATGTCTTGGGTAGATGGGTTGAAAGTTACTGGAGAGGGGGCGTCAGTCCTGGTGGACTCAAGGAGAGCCCCAACACCAAATCCAGACCCGCTCTAACCCCCGAGCCCCACGGCAGGAGTCACAGGGCTCCGTGAAGCCACGGAGCTTCCCAACCGCCCTGCTGAAACCTCCCGGGGACCGCTAGCAAGAGCTTAGGTCAGCAACTGGAAGAAAGGAACTGACATCTAAAAACAGACATTAGTTAGGGGACAGAATGGAGGCTAATAAAGCCCTGGTAAGAACACGGGAAATTCAGTCCCTGTGCAGGTCTCTCCTCCGTCCTGCGCTCGGCTCGTCCTGTTCGTGATCAAGGTCAGGCCAGCCTTTGTTTCCAAGTTTGGAGAGACCATCTCAAACCACTAGAGAGGTGTGATCCTGAACGCTCGGCACATGGGTAAGTCACCCCATGACAAACGAGATCTCACTCTTCCCACGGCCAAGGTGTCTGCAAGGTCACACGCGTACACACACGTGTACGGAAGAGCGTGGACTCTCCCTCCGCCATGCCCGCCAGCCACTCACGGCTGCTCTCTCTGCTCCCTAGAGAAGGACCCTGAGTCGTGCTACGGCCTGGCCAGAAGGGCCCAAACTTCCTCTGCCCCTTTGGCATCCTGTGCAACACGACTACAGGTAAATTGTGAATAACGGAAAGTCTGCGAGACCCGGGGACTGGTCGGGCTGTGCTTGTGTGCCGAGCCCTGAACGACGGACTCCAGCTACTGCAGTGTCCCCCCCTCCCCACGTTCCTAACTTCCACCCACCACCCAAGGCCCAGCTGATAGGCCACCGCCTCCAGGAGGCCCTCCAGACACTTCAGCCCAGCACAGTGATTTCTCCTTAACTCCTTACAGGAGTCCCAAAGCCTAGAACCTACCATCAAATGCCACTGTGTAAGAAGACGTCCCCTTTTCTGTCACCAGTTTGTCCCCTAAAGGGCTAAAGCTGAGGGCCTGAGATATAAAGTGAGCTGAAATGAATTGCTTATAATAGTAAAGAGTGAAAGACAGGTGTAATTGGAATAACCATGAATTAGGTTTTTTGCTACATGTTTTAAAATAACTGGTGGGTCATCTTTGCCTGGGGAGCCCCGTCCCCACAGCCACCTGGCCAACCCTCATGGTCACTGTGCCACTGGAGCGCTCA